TTCGGGGACATCACGTGTCAGTTCAGTCCTTCGAGTGGAATCCAAACGGGAAACGATGAGTTGGGCGGCCGAAGCGACAGTGACGTGGAGGAGATGATATGAGGAAGAAATAAGAGCTTGTGTGGAATCGTTTAGTCAGGTTTGAAAGACTGCAGAGAAGAGAGTGCAATGGTGACGTGATACTGAAGCCTTATATTCAAGGACAAATAATAATAATAATCGGGGCTGATTGATAGGAAACACTGTGTTGACTAAGATTTGTGATTGTTGGCACTTTCTAACAAAATGTTTCTACAGTCTTGAGTGGATTCATGTTCTCTTGAATATCACTCGGTGTAGGAGTTAAAAACATTCCAGTTGGCTTGGTGAAAGACTGAATTATTTATGCAAATCGATGAACATGATGGATAAAATAGTAGTCACTGCAGAACAGTGAAGAATAGACATCTACGTAGGTGACTATTAAGTGACTAATCCTTGCAAATTTAACTTTTTTCAAACGACAGTGACTGGATTCCGACAACAAATATCTAAAACATCTTAAATGTTTGAGAATTGTGATAAATGTTACTATTATGCTGGTAATTAGTAGTATTGTGTATATCTCATGGGATTCAATCCCTGTGTAAATCAGAACTCACGCTTTGACGAGTTTATCATTTACCGTCCACTGACAAATTCATGAGTGTAATTCTGTTTAATAAGGAGTTTATTACTGCATATATATCTGAAGTTCAGAGTGAGTAGCTTGACTTCAAGATTGTAGGGGAATAAAGGTTTTTCAATTGGTAGGTTTCTATGGAATCGAAACGAATTTTTGTCGTAGAATTAGACTAGTTAGAAAACCACTGAAAAATTGGGAGCATCGCATAGTTGTTTCGTTATGGTTTGACACTCTTCAGGAATACACAACCGTGACCATTAGGTTTCATGGAGAATGGAGTACTAGTTACCGAATGAGTTGGAATCTGATGGCCAATATCCTTCAACTTCTATTACATGTATTATTACTATTGTTATCATTATTATTGTTTGTCCCTTGAGTTACTAGTGGAATATAAGGCTTCAGTATCACGTCACCATTGCACTCTCTTCTCTGCAGTCTTTCAAACCTGACTAAACGATTCCCCACAAGCTCTTATTTCTTCCTCATATCATCTCCTCCACGTCACTGTCGCTTCGGACGCCCAACTCATCGTTTCCCGTTTGGATTCCACTCGAAGGACTGAACTGACACGTGATGTCCCCGAATTGTCTTCTCAGTGTATGCACAATTCATCTCTACTTTGTTCTGCATATGAATTTGATGATTGGTTCATGGTTGGTTTGTGGCCAGCCAGCCAGCCAGAGTTCCTTGTTGCTTATTCTTATAATTCCGGCCTTTGATGTGATCTTCAGTTTTAGTGTCGAGTGAGCGTAGACGGCCATTGTTGATGTGACGTATGTCTGTAGTTTGTTGGGAATGCTTTTCGTAACGCACCGTCAAGTCTGTGAACCATCACATGGAAGCACTGACTTGATATTAGTGTTGAACGTCTAATATGTATCACCAAAAATCACTTTTCCCAAACATTTTGTTCAAAGTGCAATTATTTTATAACTACTTTTCGAGATAAATTGTCCCTAAAATCGAATACCTATTCATCAACTTGTGAAAATACTGCGCTGATTGTAGTGTCCAGGCAGTCAGACAACAAGGGACTGAGAATTGATGGAAAGTAGCGTACTATTCTGATTTGATACAAAATACTAGACAGTATGCTATAGTTAGTTTGATGGTTAGCATTGGAATCCAGGACGCGTATTTCTTCCTGCCAGGCACTCATTAGCTGAATGTGCCTACATCCCAATAAGTGATGTTGTTCTCACTGCGACTCGAACCTCTTGCCCATAGCTTCAAACTCCAAAGTGTTGTCTACAAAGGTCAATGAAGCTTAGTATCGAAGCATCTGTATGAGCGGCCATCTGCCAACAGTGGTCGAGCAATTCAACCCAGTATAGCAACGGGAGATTGAAAGTATCAAACAAATTTTAGCCAGCAATTTTCTACTGTGATATTGTTTGAGTTAGGAAATAAGATGGCTATCAGTCAAACAAGGTGATTCAACGTTGTCAGGTCATTCATTAGAGCTTCAACTTCAGCCATTTTGTCTGGCTCACACTTAACGAAATATCCATACAGTTATTCTACCCCTCGAGTCACATTTACGAAAAGTAATAATTGTAGAATTTAAACCTCAGTCTTGAGGAGTTAAGTCAGTTCATTACAGGAGAGGGAAATATATAAGACATAGAATAACACTCTTTATCAAGACAAAAGAAGTCAAACGGAAACGAAGGTTAAATTGAACTACACTTTGCATCCGGGTGAATAAAGTTGGGATTCAAATTGCATGAGTTAGCTTTTCCAGTCCGTTTAACAACTATAAATTAGTAATGGCTTATGTGTGTTTGGTCGATTGTCACTGAGTATAATCTAATTAAGAAGATAGACTAGTAGTTCGTAAATGATGCCGTCCAAAATTTCGTTAGCCTATAAAAATTGGCTGTCAGTAGAATACTATTGATGCCTGAAATCAAAACACTATACATGCCTTTAAAGCATTCCACCAATCTTTCTCTACCATCCAACTTCAAAAACTGTAAACAATCACTTCAGTTACCCAGCTTGAACTATTTCACAAACTAAATGGATGAAGTACATTAAGTAAAGACCAATTATCCTATAGAATGCAATCATATTTATTCATCAGGTAATGTGACTTTGTCCACATTTGACAGGTTGGTGTTAATATAATGAAACAGTGAATGAATTTGGAAGAAAGCCTAAATCAACTTAGCAGCCTCCTGTCAACATGCCTAGCGCTCTGTTGGCCAAATCGCTATACTTGGATGATGACCAGGGTCACCGAACACTTGTGGGGGTGTTAGAGCCTATAGTGAGATGTTCGGAGAGATGTGCTTGTCGAATGGTGTCCGTCAAGGCTGCTCACTCTCTCCATACTTATTCAGTCTTATCGTAGATATTCTTATGGAGGATTCCCTCTTCTCACCTGACTACACAGAGGTTGACCAAATCGCAGGAGAATTTTCGTTAAACCTATAATATGCAGATGACATAGTCCTGTTAGGTGAAGACGCTGACAAGATGGAGAGTATTCTAAACACTTTGAGTGGGAATTTGAGAATGTTTGAGGTGCGTTTCTCACCAACCAAACGCAAATTATTGCTCCAAGATTGGTCTTCAGTGGTGCCATGGCTAACAATAGAGAGTATAATGATTGAGTGTGTTGACTACTTCACTTACCTGAGAAGTAGGGTCAGCCCTGGTGCACTGATCAGTGACCGATGAAGTCTCTCCAGGAATACCAAAGGCTCGGCTGGCTTTTGCCAACTTACACCATCTGTAGTGCCACTGAGATGATATCTGATTGTCTATTAAGGGTCACGTGTACTGCACACCAGTCCACTCTGTTCCAGTGTATGACTGCGAAACATGACCATTGAAGGTGGAAGACATGAGAAGTCTTCAGGTGTTTGACTACCGTTGCCTTCGTAGTATAGGCCGTATTTCGTGGTGTCACCATGTGAGTAACGCAGAAGTTAGGCTCATGTGCAGAGTTTCAGGGAGAAGAGGTAAATCAGTTGATACGGTTGTGAACCTTCATCGACTGAGATGGTTGGCTCTGACATGTGTCACGTATGCCTAGTTGCCGTCTGCCTCATCACACAATGTTGGTAGAGGTAGGTTCAGCCTGGAAAAAGACCGGAAGTGACCAGACTAAAAACATGGTATCAGTGTATGAAGTCACTGACTGTTGGTTCGAGCCATGTGGAGTGATGTAGACTAGCCGGTCGGGGTCGGTGGGAGAAGAGAAAAGAACCAGTGGTTAGAGACTGACTCAGGGTGATCACATGGCTCAGAACCGATATCAGTTGCGCATATTTTTTACACACATTGTTCTCATCTCAATGCTATACGGAATCTCACCATTTTATCATTCTTCCTCTCTCTCTTTTAGTACTTAACATTTCTTTTGACTCAATTTTCTTTTCTTCTTCACCTTCCGCTTCACTGCTTTTTTACTTTGTGTGCTGATATGAGGTGTGGGCAGTTGGACCGTTACGCAGTAATCCCTGGTCTTATGCTGATTTCGATGGATGCATGGAGCAGGTTCACAATTCCACTTCAATTACCTAGAGTTCTGTCCAGATATCCTGTTAGTCAGGGGTATGTAACTTTTACTTCATAATGTTTCCAACTGCCCAATCACATTTTTCCATTCAAATCCGAATTGACCAGAATCGGAAGAAGAAATGGTCGATGATGTGTTTGTTTGACAGCCTTGCTTTAGAAGACTGGTCCAAAAGTATGATTTGGATGATTGATTCTGGAGGAAAACCACTGGTCATGATTAGATCTAAGCCAACGGGGACTGAACTACCAGTCAACTAGAATTGGTTATGTCACTTGGTTCTAATCATACTACAAACCATGTTTCTTGACCAGCGCTAACTGTTTCCTACTGTTGGAATTGGCGATATAGCGGGATTATCCCGCAAGGTCTTCGGTTGACTTCCACCTCACTTCCGACTGGTTTAACTCAAAGGTCACGTCTCATTAGATTTCCAGGAAATTCATGCGGTAGCAGATCACAAATGGGTACACTAGACTGATGTAATTCAACATATAGGAAGACTGTATTTTCTTATTTTTACGGTAGTATTTATTGCGTGAAGTCCTAAGGTCTTGGCTTTGATCCCTGGGAGGTGAGGTCATGGGTCTGTACTGCTGATGAGCCTCATACTAGGACGAAACGGCTGTAGAGTGCTCTCAGTATTCCAATCTCCTCCCAACTGATGTCAGTATGTTTTGAATACTACCTTCAAGTTCAGAAGTCGTAGGACACTTCATAGATAAAACAGTCTTACACTACTTAAATAAAATAAGTAGTACAAAAGAGATGAAAGACGTTCATATGAAACAAATGGTAACTCACTTGAAACAATCCTTTGTAGAATACATATGGGTTTTTTCGTGTAGCCACAAAGTAGAGTAATGCTAGAGTACCAAGTAAGTGAATCGCCAAACCGCTTACTACAGTCACCATATATAAGCCTAATGCTCTTGCTGTATCTCGTAAATTTTCAATTTCCAACATTTTACCCAAAATTAAGAAGAATATACCGAAAGGTGAATAGCTGAAATGATAAAACAAAGCAAGTTTCAGATTTGAAATTTTTTACTGCATTCTGACAGAATATCCTGAAAAAATGAGGTAGAAAATAAATTCTTTTTGTTCCACTGAAGGAGAATAAATTCTCTACGTTGGTTTTCATCATGCAATGACATCAGTTGAAATAACACTGGAAACCTAGGGGGTATTGAACATCTGCTTTGTCCTAGTATGTGACTCTTCAGCAGTGCACACCCACTACCCCACCGGGATCCAACACACAACCTTTAGGTTACGTGGCCAGCATATCAGCATTGAGCCACTGGGTCGGAATCCAATAGTCCATATTTCCAACTTTTGTCAGTTCACGATGTCAGTCCAGGATGAAAAACAACTTAAAATATCTCTAAATACCCCAAAATCCCCCGCGAAAAAATTCGACTGAATTAATGCTTATTGGTGACTAGCTTCGAAAGGTGATTCTTGAAGTTCCAATGAGAGGTCGTGAACTGTGGGACATACGTGGTGGACGTGAAGATAGATACTCAACAATGATAATGTGTGACGGCTGCGCCATATCGTGAACTGACAGAAGTTGGAAATATGGACCAATGGATTACGACCCAGTGGCTAGCTCAATGGTAACGTACTAGCGACAGAACCTGAAGATCGCGGGTCCGATCCCTGGAGGGTGGGGTCGTGAATGCGCACTGCTGAGGAGTCCCACACTAGGACGTAACAGTTGTCCAGAGCTCCCAAATTTCCATTGTTCCTTCAATTGATGTCAGTCCATGCTTTAACTCCCGAAAAATTCAGTAAATTCTTTAGTTGAAATAGTGAAACATCTTAATAGAGGTCGAACAATTCGACCCAGTAAAACGATGGAGAATTACAAGCGTATCACGACCATAAATACGTGGATGGACAAAATTTCGATACTTAGGTTTTGCTTTCAGACGGATTCGTCAATACGTTTCGGTAACCATATGTCAACTTTGGGTGACATAAGAGTTTGTAAGAACTAGGGCAGAATCACACTACTGTCCACCCCAAGCAAAATATTAGGCCACATCATCCTGGACAGGTTAAAGGATGCGCTGGATTTAAAACTAAAACCCGAACAGGCTTACTGGCAGGATTCAGGAAGTACGAATAATGTGCCGACCAAATTGCAACGCTACGCCGCACATCATCATAGAACAGAGTATTGAATTGCAGTCAACTCAACTTTATCGACTTTAAGAAGGCCTTTGACATCGTCGACCAAGAAGTAATTAGGAAACTGCTTCAATAATACGGAATGCCACAAACCTTTATCAACCTCATTCAACAACAATATGACGATGCCACATGCCAAGTAATTCACAATTAGAAGCTCAGTGATGCCTTCGAAGTGAAGTAAAGATAGGAGTGAAACAAGGCTGTCTACTATCACCTATGATCTTCCTGATTGTAGTCGACTGTATCATACAACAAACAGTGAGGAGCGAGAAGAGTGGGATGCGCTGGACCGTGGAGATGAACCTAGAGTATTTGGATTTCTCCGATGATGACTTCTGTCTAATGTCACACACACTTCAAAATCTACAGGCAAAAACTAACAAGTTGACAGGAGAGGCTGGGCAAGACAGCAAAGACAGGATTTCAAGTGAAGATAGAGAAGACGGAGTTGATGAAGATACCCAACCAACACCACCAGTAACAACAACAAGCTGCAATCACAATCAGTGGGAGAAACTTGAAGGAAGTAGCCTGTTTCACCTATCTAGTCAGCATCGTCTCAACTACAGGTGACGCAGGCACAGATGAGGAAATCAAAGCCACGATCGAAAAGACAGCAAGAAAGGCGTTGATTAACCTGCAACCGGTGTGTAGATCTGCTGCACTCAGCATAAAGTGTGAACAATATCCGGATTTTAAACAACAATTCAGTCAAGTCAGTGCTTCTATATGTTTCGGAAACTTGGCGCGTGATGAAAAGCACTTCCAACAAACTACAGACATACATGAACAGCTGCCGCCTACACTGGCTCGTTACTGAAGATCAGATCAGATGGCCAGAATAGTAAGAATAAGCAACGAGGAACTCTGGCTGGTTGGCTGGCTGGCAACGAACCAACCAAGAACCTATCACTCAAGAAATATGCAGAAGGAAGTGTAAGTGTCGATGGATTGGGCATGTGCTGAGAAGGCCGATTGTGCACATCATGCTGAGGCCATGCCCTCGAGTGGAATCCGAAGGGGGAAATGATGAGTTGTGCGTGAGAGGTGATGGTGACATGGGGTAGATGATGTGAGGAAGAAATGAGAGGTTGTGGGCAGTTGTGGAGCCAGGTGGAAAAGACTGCAGATAAGAGAGTGGAATGGAGACGTTCTACTGAATCCCTATGTTCCGTTTGGAACCCAAGGAACAAATAATAATGTAATAACAATGTCAATTTCAGTCAGCCATGGCATCAGTGAGACGTCCGATTACCTAAGAAAGCACTAGTACAGCGTCTTTCTGTCGGTCCTGTCTTTTCGTATGATTTTGTATGTTTTTGACGATAACTGTCATCATCGCATTGCTTACGTTTAGTGGAATAACCATATGGGAAATGTCGAGAACAGACTTAGAGCACTGGACAAGTAAACTAAGTCAGTCGATGGGGTTGTTAACCGAAACTAACTGATGTGGCTTGGGTATGTATTAGACCACATACCTCAATGTTTCATGTTAGCCTAGATAGGATTAGTACTTCGATTGGTTACTCGAGAGCTACCATAGGAAGTTCACGTTGGTAGATATTAGTCGGTTGGAGGCAATCTGTAGGACTGGTCTGCTGGAAAAATCAGGGTAGAAAGAATAAGACGTGGGAAAAATTCACGAAGTTTTTAACTATAGCCCTTAACCGTACAGGAAGCTGTAGACGAGCTCTGCGGTATCCCAGAAACAATAAGGATCAACGGTTGTAACCTCTTTGTGACACGCACTTAAATGGAGTAGGTCTACATACACTTATTCCTCCCTAAAGTCTCGCATATTTTCATTACACAATCTTTCCTTGGACGATGCTGTGAACTGCTGGAACTTAAAATGATACTGAACTGGGTACTGTTCAATACTGTGGGTACCGAGTTTTACAGTATGACCTTACGGATGTCAGTCAGCGACTATATAGAGCGTTTTGGTTGTTCTTCAGGTTTGTAGTGAAAAACATCAGAGAACGAGGTAGGACACTGACGTATATATCGATTTCATCACTCCCTAGTGACCATTTCATGTGATCTATAACATCAGTCTTATGCTGATCCAACTTGAAGAATAAAAATTTACACTGTTGTGAATGAATACTAAGTGAAATTCACTTACAGCATAATAACTTGTACCATTCTCATGACAACTTCATTCAGGATTGAGAAAAACTGTACCATAACAACAGCTCGATCACCCATTTGACCAAGTATAATACCGAACATAATTGAAAATGATACCAAACCTACAAATGATAAAAAGAGAGACAAAAACACACTAATTAATGCAACAACAGTTGGTAATCAATAGTAAGCCGCATCATCTCGGGGATATGAAAAGATACTCTGAATTCAAAATTACGATCGGAACAGGCTGGATTCAGGAAGAACAAATCAAGTGCGGATGAAATTGCAGCGCTATGATACGCATCATCATGGAACAGAGTATAGAATGGCAGTCAACTCAACTCAACCTCACATTCATTGACTTTGAAAGGGCCTTCGATAGCGTCCACTGAGAAGTAATTTTGCCAGCAGTTGCTTCAACTCTACGGAGTGCCACAAATCTTTATGTATCTCATTCAACAGCTATATGAATAGGCCACATGCCAAGTGATTCATAATGGAAAGCTCAGTGACGCCGGTGAAGACAGGAGTAAGACAAGGCTGCCGCCTACTATCACTGTTGATCTTCTTGATTGTGGTTGACTGGACTGGATAATGCAGAAAAGCGTGAGGAGCAAGAAGACGGGCATACGCTGACCGAACCGAGGATAAGAGTTTAGAAGAAGATTTGGATTTCGCCGATGATGATTCATATCTAGTGTCTTGAACCACAAACTCGAAGATCTACAGGCAAAAACTAACAAGAGCCTGGCAGCAAAGACGGGACTTCAAACGAATGTAGGGAACACGGAGGTGATGAAGATACCCAACCAACAACAGTATGAAAAACAAGCACCAATCAACATGAACCGGAGAAATCTAAACGAAGTTGTCTTTTTCGCCTACTAACCTGCCTAGGCAGCATCGTTTTAACTACAGGTGGCACAGGCAGAAACGAGGAGGTCAAAACCAGGATCGAAAAGACAGCAAGAAAGGCGTTCACTAACCTGCAACCAGTGTGAAGATCTACTGCACTCAGCACAAAGAACAACATCCGAATTTTCAACACCAATGTCAATTCAGTGTTTCCATGTGGTGGTTGAGAGAATTGATGTATTACGGAAACCACTTCCAACAAACTACAGACATACATGAACAGCTGCCGCCTACGCTGGCTCGTTAATGAAGATCAGATCAGATGGCCAGACTAGTAAGAATAAGCAACGAGGAACTCTGGCTGGTTGGCTGGCTGGCAACGAACCAACCAAGAACCTATCACTCAAGAAATATGCAGAAGGAAGTGTAAGTGTCGATGGATTGGGCATGTGCTGAGAGGGCCGATTGTGGACATCACGTGGTAGGCCATGACCTCGAGTGGAATCCGACGGGGGAAATGATGAGTTGTGCGTGAGAGGTGATGGTGACATGGGGTAGACGATGTGAGGAAGAAATGAGAGGTTTTGGGCAGTTGTGGAGCCAGGTGGAAAAGACTGCAGAGAAGAGAGTGTAATGGAGGGTTGCTATTGAAGCAGTGTGTTCCACTAGGAACTCATGGGAAAAATAACAAATTATATGAATGACTTCACTGAAAGTGAATTCCTTTAAAATAATTCAAATGATATTCGGAATGCCTTGGTTGTATTGTGTTCTCTGAGCTAGACTGTTTAATCGTGAAGCTTCCATCGTCTTTCTGGACGACATCATCAACATTAACTTCAGTATGAAGTAGTGGGCTGTCAGTATCTCTCCATGAGTAATTTACTAGCTTGCCCTGACCAACTGATTTGTGGTTGGTTGTTTCTTTCGATTGTTGTGTCATTAACTGCATAGACTTTCTTGTTGGCTGTCCCTCTGCTTCACCTCTGACCTTTCTGTATTTTATCATTCCTCTTATTGGTTGATAGATTGGGTCTATGTCTATACATCTGTTGATTGCTGACCGACTAACCGACCTAAATGCCAAGCTTCTAGGAATTCTCTGACATTCTTTGTGTTTCCTCTCTCCATCCAAGATTTCTACATTGTCGAAATTGAATTCATGTTCATAATTATCCACGTGCATTGAAATAAACAGCGATGAAATATCGTGACGTTTAATAGCCAATTGGTGTTCATGCAGACGAATGCGAAGGGGGCGACCACTTTGTTTAATCTAGGATTGAACATCATCCAGTCAGCGGAAATTCAATAGGGAAACACTATGCTGATTTATGTAGTAATTTCTATCGAACTGTAACTCTTATCATTCATCTGAATAATAATTTCATAATTGAGATGCAGCTAGAAAACTCCAAAAAACTTTCTTGGATTTTTGTTCAGACTGGCAGATTATTCAGCAGTTGAAGATGGAATCTATCAAGTTTCAGAACACAAGTTTAAAATTATGACTACTCAAATCGCTTTCTACTGCCATATTAAAGGTAAAAACATAGCCTTCAAAGTAGATGATTGATCTAAGCAAATGAAAAACAGATGTAGAATCACTCTTACTGGAACTTATCGAGTTGCTCAATCTGTGCTTTCTTCTAGTCAAAAGTGGATAATCGCTCCTCGGAAGTCATCTTAAACTACATCTATAAATTTTTAAACACTAATAAGCATATTAGGCATACAGTTGGGCCTGATCTCCATAGTCTTCAAGGTTCAGGACAAAATATACAGACAAACAGAAGGAGTAGCAAAGGGATCGCCAATATCCCAAATCGTAGCAGAAATATTTATGGATAGTTGGGAGGATATGGCTTTACAAACGTTTAATCTTACATCAAAAATATGGTGGCGATATGTGGAAAACATATTTGCTGTGCTGAAATCCAAACATATCGACGGTTTCTTCATACATATAAACTCAGTAGTGGGCTCCATTCAATTCACTTATGAGGCAGAAAATGAACAAGGGGAATTACGTATCTTGATTTGGAGGATAAATGAAGGACAGACAGTGGTTTGGATACTACTGCCAACAGAAAACCAACATGTATCTAGACTTCAAGTCATCCCATTTAATGTCAGTTAAGGCAGGATTCTTCAAATGTCTAAATGATAGAGTTAGAAAACTGACTAGTTAGTGCAAGGACCTAAACAAAGAATTGAAATACATAAGAAAAGCATTATTAATAATTACTTATCCTCTACAGTTTATTAGGAAATTCATACTAACACATGAGAAATGAAAAGATAACAGTAACACGAGTAGGAATGATAACGACAACATGAGTAGAAAGGAGTTCACAATCTCCATTGTCTTACCCTACAACAAAGGCACATCACAAACTTTAGACAGAATCTTCAACAAAGCTGAAATAAGGGTGGCATTCAAACCTACAAACGCATTCAGTGATAATTTTTGTCGGTTTAATAATTCGATAGAGCCAATTAAGCGAAATAATGTAATCTATCAAATTCCATGTAATGACTGTGAGTCGAGTCAAGTTTATGGGTGAAACTATGTGGTCGGTGTCAGTAAGAATAGCAGAACATAAGAATTTAGGCAAATATAGAATGACAGACTCCATGCACTACCACACAACCACACAATAGGGTTGGATAAAGCTACTGTGCTCAAGTGTAATATAATTAGTTGGAGAGACAGACAGAGAGATTGATTACTGAATCATTGTTCATAGAATCAACCAACCAATGCAATAGGAAGAATGCAACGCCAGAGATATAGAAAAGTTTACTACCAATAAAAACAAAGAATGAAAGATGACAAAACCATGAAAAATCAGATGTCGAAAGTGATGTGATTACATTGATATGATTATGAGGAACGTAATAATGTAAATAATAGTCTATCTGTGTTATAAATCAAATAAACAAATCTAATATGGAACTAAGAAGAATATTTGCTTTTCAGAATATACTCTGACTAGTTTGAGACCCAGTAGTGTTTGAAGCGGGTCAGGCATAACCCTTGGACATCTAACTACCTAGTGACATCATATGAATGTAACTATATATATACATATATATATATATATATATATATATATATATATATATATATATATATATATATATATATATAACAACATGTAGTTCAAATAATCTTCGCATTGCGATCGTTATTATTATTTGTCTCTTGGGTTCCTGATGGAATACAGGGCCTCAGAAGCACGTCGACATTTCACTGTCTTCCCTACAGTCTCTTTAACCTGGCTACACGGCTGCCCAGAATCTTTCATTTCTCCCTCACACCATATCCTCCATATCACCCTCACCCAACTAGCCGTTTCCCATTTCGGTTCCACTCTATTGCCTGGCCTCGCCTGGCGTATGATATCCTCAGACCGTCTTCTTAGTGCATGTCCAATCCAGTGCAATCCACCTCCACTTTATATTTCTGCATATTTGTTGGGTGATAGGTTGTTAGTTGGTTGGTTCGTTGCGGTGCCAGCCAGAGTTCCTCCTTCATTATTCTTATTATTCTGGCCTTCTGATCTCATCTTCGGTGTCAGTATAGAGTGAGCGTTGGCGGCAGCTGTTGATGCGGTGTATCTCTGTAGTTTTTTGGAAATACTTTTGATAATGCGCCAAGTCTGTGAACCATCACATAGAAGCACTGACTTACTTGACTGAATTGGTTTTGAAAATCCGGATGTTGTTCACGTTTTACGCTGGGTGCAGTGCAGTTCAATGCAGTGCAGTCAATCTCTTCACTGATTATTGCAAATTAGTGAAAGCCTGTCAAGCTGTCTTTCCAACCCTTGCTTTGATATCATCATCTCTGCTGTCGCCGCCGCCTGTAGTTCAGACGATTCTGTCTTGGCAGGCAGGTAGGTGAAAGAGACAACTTCGTTTAGGTTTCTCCTGTTAATGGTGATTGGTGCTTGTTGTTGGTTGGGTATCTTCATCACCTCTGTTTTCTCTACGTTCACCTGAAGGAAGTTCTGTCTTCACTGTCCTACCTCTCCTGCCAACTTTTTAGTTTTCGCCTATTGATCTTCGAGTTTTGCGTGACAGGACATTAGACATAAATTATCATCATCGGCATAATCCAAATCTTCTAGGGTCTTTTCGTCGGTCAAACAGAGTAAGCCCATCTTCTCAGAGCTCCTCGTAGTTTCTTGTATGATCCAGTCAAGTTCAGTCAACCCCAATCAGGAAGATAATCGGTAATAGTAGGTGGCAACCTTGTCTTACTCCTTCCTGTCTCTACTTCAAAGGTATTACTGAGCTTTACATTGTGAATCACTTGACATGATAATGTTATCTAAATTTATTAGTGGGACTGATTGTTTCAAATTTTCGTGATAGGCTTAAAGCATCGGAAAATAAGCCTTTCTTTATGTTATCCGAATGAAACACGTAAATTTATACACACATATGGAGGCAGTCTGTGATGAGTACCTGTCGTTTTTTCTAATCTACCAGCGAGTAACGAATACGAATAAGGAGAACTAGTTTTGCTACTGGTTATGTCCTGGTCACTATTTTACCCGAGTTAGACCTTCATTGCTTAGAACAACACCAAATTAACACCTCACGTTGTTTGTTAATAACGTGTTTGTTTTAGTCTTTGTGATGGAATCATTTTTCTTCAATTTGTAGGCGTTACACTCTTACAGATGTACACTTAAATGTCAGAACTTAGTCAGCAAACAGTTTGCTGGAAACTACTTACAACAATCTTCATTTAGCCCAATACATTTACCACACTCTCAAAAAGATTAACTGAGTTCTATAAGCACTATGAGCAATACTGAGTAGAGTGTATCTTAATACATATTAATGATAGCAACAAAAAGAGGAAATTCCATTTCGTATAAGGTTGAAATTGTCGTGGAGTAGGTGCGCTACTCAATAGTTCCAAATACCAGAGGTACAAGTAACCAGTATTACGGCTGAAATTGGTCTTAAAGAACATAATTAAATTATTATCTGTCCATTGGGTTCCTAGTAGAACATACGGCTTCAGTAGCAACACTCCATTCCACTCTCTTCTCTGCAGTCTTTTCCACCTGGCTCTACAACTGCCCAAAACCTCTCATTTCTTCCTCACATCATCTACCCCATGTCACCATCACCTCTTACGCACAACTCATCATTTCCCCCGTCGGATTCCACTCGAGGTCATGGCCTACCACGTGATGTCCACAATCGGCCTTCTCAGCACATGCCCAATCCATCGACACTTACACTTCCTTCTGCATATTTCTTGAGTGATAGGTTCTTGGTTGGTTCGTTGCCAGCCAGCCAACCAGCCAGAGTTCCTCGTTGCTTATTCTTACTATTCTGGCCATCTGATCTGATCTTCAGTAACGAGCCAGTGTAGGCGGCAGCTGTTCATGTATGTCTGTAGTTTGTTGGAAGTGCTTTTCATCACGCGCCAAGTTTCCGAAACATATAGAAGCACTGACTTGACTGAATTGTTGTTTAAAATCCGGATATTGTTCACACTTTATGCTGAGTGCAGCAGATCTACACACCGGTTGCAGGTTAATCAACGCCTTTCTTGCTGTCTTTTCGATCGTGGCTTTGATTTCCTCATCTGTGCCTGCGTCACCTGTAGTTGAGACGATGCTGACTAGATAGGTGAAACAGGCTACTTCCTTCAAGTTTCTCCCACTGATTGTGATTGCAGCTTGTTGTTGTTACTGGTGGTGTTGGTTGGTATCTTCATCAACTCCGTCTTCTCTACGTTCACTTGAAATCCTGTCTTTGCTGTCTTGCCCTGCCTCTCCTGTCAACTTGTTAGTTTTTGCCTGTAGATTTTGAAGTGTGTGTGACATTAGACGGAAGTAATCATCGGAGAAACCCAAATCTTCTAGGTTCATCTCCACGGTCCAGCGCATCCCACTCTTCTCGCTCCTCACTGTTTGTTGTATGATACTGTCGACTACAATCAGGAATATCATAGGTGATAGTAGACAGCCTTGTTTAACTCTTTCGCGTCTTCACTTCGAAGGCATCACTGAGCTTCTAATTGTGAATTACTTGTCATGTGGCTCCTTCATAAAGTTGTTGAATGAGATTGATAAAGGTTAACATACATAGTCTTCAAATTCGTTTAGTTTTTTTTGAAAAATACAAGAGATTTTACACAAAGCGATCATGAAAGGAAATATTATCAGGTTTATTCTCACCTAGAACGTTTGTGCTGTCTACATACTTTGGTTGAACAGCTTCATAGGTAATTGGTACTATTTTGGTTGAATCATTTGTCACGGTCCCATTAGTTGTGTTACTGATACGAACATACTTCGGACGTTTGACAATTGTAACGTAGGTACTTTGTTGTTGTTGTAAGGAGGCTTGAACAATGTTCTCGGAAACAAATTTCTGTTAGGAGAGAAATAATATGATTTTTTTTTAATATAAAGAATCATTGAGGCTAAAAGGTAGAAATGTTTGAAAAATTGGGGATAGTGAGGAAATTTCCAACTATTTAAATATCATCTAGGACGAAAAAAACAAGCCAGCTATTTTATCTGGAAGTTTTGTGAGGATTGAACGATTCAAAGGTAATTTGCATTACGAACTGAAATCAGGTGGGGGACCTTGCAAAACATAAGAACTAAGGCCATCTAATTCATCCAGGTATACCACTGCTTATCAATGCACACTTGTGACCCTGACAGCAAGTACTTTATAGTAGTCAATATCTTGCCATTTTCATGATATTATGTAACCATTATTTAATACCATCGGTAAGTTTTGTCTTCACATACAATCTGGTTGACCAAGCTGACTCCAGCCACTTATTAGGATTTCGGGAAATTCATCTCAGAGCAAATAATAAGTTAGCAATAAGTTGTAACTCATAGGGGTGTTTTCGACTAGCACCTTGAAATTTAACATCGTTAGGACTGATCCGTCACGTAATCATGGCTGCTGATTGTTATGGAGTTTCTAAATATGACAAAATACCTATCAAGCCTACAACTGTTTTCAATAGTCCGCCAGCTGAAGCCAATCCATGATGATACTCATATTATAACTAATTAATCTACCACCATATATCAATAATCTGAAGTCAGTGTGGAGATCTACTGCACTCAGCATAAAGTGTGAACAATATCCGGATTTTAAACACCAATTCAGTCAAGTCAGTGCTTCTATATGTTTCGGAAACTTGGCGCGTGATGAAAAGCACTTCCAACAAACTACAGACATACATGAACAGCTGCCGCCTACACTGGCTCGTTACTGAAGATCAGATCAGATGGCCAGAATAGTAAGAATAAGCAACGAGGAACTCTGATTGGCTGGCAATGAACCAACCAAGAACCTATCACTCAAGAAATATGCAGAAGGAAGTGTAAGTGTCGATGGATTGGGCATGTGCTGAGAAGGCCGATTGTGGACATCACGTGGTAGGCCATGACCTCGAGTGGAATCCGACGGGGGAAATGATGAGTTGTGCGTGAGAGGTGATGGTGACATGGGGTAGATGATGTGAGGAAGAAATGAGAGGTTTTGGGCAGTTGTAGAGCCAGGTGGAAAAGACTGCAGAGAAGAGAGTGGAATGGAGTGTTGCTACTGAAGCCGTATGTTCTATTAGGAACCCAAGAGAAGAATAATAATATTAATATATCGAAGAAAAGAGAATTTTAAATTGTAATTTCTTTGACTCATATTAGGATGTAAATAAAACCATCATTGATATATTTTTTATCGTGTTGGACAGGAGTATCACTACCCTATTGGTTATTTTATGCATAAATTGGTAGGCTTAAAAGCATCTGATAGCCTCGACAATTGTCATTCCCATAATAAAAAGATCATAGTGTAACATTTAATCTCCAATGCTTTGTGTGTGTGACTGTGCAAAAGTCTATCTGCATGTTAAAGTGCAGTTTAGAATGTGTTCAGTCCTGTACAGGGCTACATAATGCATCGTGCTAATGTACACGTGACACAATCATAGATAAAATATAGTTTATGCGTCGTAACTGTAATGTAAGCAGTAGGAAATGATTTACGGTACTTTTCAATTTCTCTGTCCAAAAGACGTAATATCAGACATGATCACTAAGGCACATATATGTATGTATGAATTTAAGTGTAAAACTTGGTCACTATGGCAGAATGTAATTCCATATTAGATTTGTTGATTTGATATTATAGAGCGCAGTGAAGATGACGTTTCGAGCATAAATTATCATTCCTCATAACCATATCGATGTAATAACACTATTTTTGATATCTGGCTTTTAAGTTCTGTCACTTGATATACTTAATTTACATTGGCAATACAGTTTTCTATATCTCTGGTGTAGGTGTTAAACCACTCCTATTACGTGTTGTGTGTTGGTTGATTCGATGAACAATGATTCAGTAATCAATCTCTCTGTCTGTCTCTCCAACTAATTATATTACACTTGAGCACAGTAGCTTTATCCAACCCTATTGTGTGGTTGTGTGGTAATGCATGGAGTCTGTCATTCTATATTTGCCTAGATTCTTATGTTCTGCTATTCTTACTGACACCGACCACATAGTTTCACCTATGTACTTGACTCGACTCACAGTCATTACATGGAATTTGATAGATTACATTATTTCGCTTAATTGGCTCTATCGAATTATTAAACCGACAAAAATTATCACTGAATGCGTTTGTAGGTTTGAATGCCACCCTTATTTCAGCTTTGTTGAAGATTCTCTCTAAAGTTTGTGATGTGCCTTTGTTGTAGGGTAAGACAATGGAGACTGCGAACTCCTTTCTACTCATGTTGTCGTTATCATTCCTACTCGTGTTACTGTTATCTTTTCATTCCTCATGTGTTAGTATGAATTTCTTAATAAACTGTAGAGGATAAGTAGTTATTATTAATGCTTTTCTAGCTTTATCATTTAGACATTCAACTAAGCCTGCCCTTACTGACATTGGATGAGGTGACTTGAAGTTTAGTCTAGTCAAATGTCTAAATCGGACCGGAAACCCGGTGGTCGCTGGTTCAAAAGCGGCTGCGGTACAAATTTTCATTTCATCTTCAATCACCATTCAGTATAAATATTAGTCAGCCAAACTAAAGCCATCTCAGATAGTCGAATCGTAAAAAATGTCTAGACGATAGAGCCAGAAAATTGACCAACCAGTGAAAGGACCTAAACAAGGAACTGAAGCAAATAAAAGAAGCGTTAATAACTAATAATTAACTGCATTTTACTATGAAATTTGTAGGAACACATAAGAAAGGAAATAATAACAGTAACACGAGTAGGAATGATAACGACAACATGAGTAGAAAGGAGTTCACAATCTCCATTGTCTTACCCTACAACAAAGGCACATCACAAACTTTAGAGAGAATCTTCAACAAAGCTGAAATAAGGGTGGCATTCAAACCTACAAACACATTCAGTGATAAGTTTTGTCGGTTTAATAATTCGATAGAGCCAATTAAGCGAAATAATGTAATCTATCAAATTCCATGTAATGACTGTGAGTCGAGTCAAGTTTATGGGTGAAACTATGTGGTCGGTGTCAGTAAGAACACTGGAAATAGGAATTTAGCCAAATACAGAATGACAGACCCCAGTCAGATCAATAATCCAGAAGAAAACCTCAGCTATTACAGTGCATACATACGTGATATCTATCCCATGATAACAAATGTCTTCGTATAAATATGGCTGACAATCAACCAGATAATCATAGTTAAATTTCATCTACCGATTCGCTACACGAATCGTCGTTAGTTATAGAAATAATGAGAATCAGAGTTGGTCAGACACTCTCCAGAAATCAAGCAACTTGTGACGTATAGATTGATTCAAGTAGCTAATAACAACGGATGCCCATCAACGGTATTGGATGACGATCAGTAACTGTACTGAATTTCACTCCCAGTTTAATGATAAGGAGGGAAGTGACGTTGTATATTATCCACCTCACTGGGAGAGTTGAGTCAGCCTGAATAGATGTTTGCTGTCGAAATCTCAGCTCGGATATACAAAGCGAGTTCGGCAATTGCCAATTTATCTATTTCCTGGCGCCAACTACCTATCAAATGATGCGTACAATACTCTGCTGTACGTTCTGTCCTGTTATACGGCTGTTAATCATGGTCGTTAAAGGTGGAAGGTATGAAGTGATTACAAGTCTTTGATCATAGATATCCTAGTTACATTGCTCACGTTTGGTGAGATCACTGTAACAGCAAAGTTGAGGTCAGGCGAAGGGTACTGTGCAAGAAAGGCAAGTCGACTGATGAAGTTGTGGGTCTTCTGGGAGTGAGATGACTTGGAAATGTCCCGCGCATGCTGTGTTACCGCCTATCTCTATGTCCTATGCTGCGAGAAGCTGTATTAAGTTGGAAGAGGGTTGAGGGTGTCAAACCCAGACGTGACACCAGTCCATGAAGTCTCTGACTGTTTTTCTGAGTCCTGTAGGAAGGTGTTGACAAACTGGCTGTTGTCTTCAAGACGACAGGAAACAGTGATTGAGCACCCTTGGTGAAATTGTTGGAAATCAGCCACAATGGCGTAGATGTATTCACTCTCTGAAGTCTTCTAAAGCATGAATATTTGTACTTATCGTTGTTTATTCTCTCATTCAACTTTATCTACTTTGATATCAGTCTGTTTCTATCCACCTGTATACTTCTGACCCATACGTACGCGTGGCTTTCCGTTGATTTTCTCTGTTTGTCTATAACGAATCGATAGTAATCAGAAGTATGATATGAGAACTTCTTTGCGGATGATGAATCCCATTATATCGTAGTGTACTTGGTGAGTAGCAATAAAATCAAGGAATTGGGTTTCATCGCACTTAAAACTCATCTGGATGTACCTGCGCCTCAGTGAGTGATAATCTTACCACTGAACTTCGAACGCAGTACTTTACATTAAAAAAGCCAAGATCTTATTCAACATTATCACCATTGCATATAAAAAGGTAATGAATATACTTTTATAGTCTATTATCAGTCACATGTCTATCTTTATGTATTTTAAATAAGTAATTCTGATGAAAACCAGTAAGTAAGCGTTTTTCAAATAAAAAGCCTTTTTCTTAACAAAATGACAATTAATGTTAGTTAATTGATAACATTCAGGAGGAGGCCGTCCACTATCTTGCGCACGAATGGGTTACAAACATCGATTGATCAAGGAAGAAAAGGTGTGTGTGTGTGTGTAGCCAATTTTATATCAATAGAACTCTATCGACTCACTATCGTGGTACATTTCGACTGATCGAGGCTGATTCGGTGCAAATGACTGGCACCCCTGTCCAATGTAGTGTTAGTGCTTGTTGGCACTTGGCAATAAATAAGACGTCTCCTTAAACTAGAGAGAGCTAATCTCCTCTGAGAGATTTGAATACGTAT